GCACTGAATGTCACTTTAGTGGGTTGATTAATAAATCTATCCATGTTCTTCAAACTTAATATTTATCTCAGAACGATGTTCTGAAAAACATAAAACCTAGTAGTGTCATGAGTACAGTGAACTCTTTTTAAGGTATCATAACCGTGAGAGTACTTAAAACTACAGAAAAGCTTTGCTGTTTTGAAACTACCTTGTATTCTTATATTAATTCATCAAAACCTCCAGTTTAAAGTGTCAAGTGGCAGCAGCTGGAATGAGCAGTGAAGCTGTTATACTTCCATTCTCTTTTTAAGTGTCACCATAGCAGGGTGTGAATATCAAAAAATGCAAGTCCTTTTAATCTGAAAGTTGGGTTCCACGGTTCATTTTTAACTTCACTCTAAAAATTAGTGCATTCGGCTCTGAGAGTTTGCAGGAAGACATGAAATATTTTGAATACACCCTCTGACGTGTTCCCAGGCTTCCAACTACAGTGAGATAAAGTGCAGGCTTGTGTCTGCTTTTATACATATACAGCAGAGGAAATAATTAATATTAATGATCATTTACCAAGAGGCAGCCAAGAAACCTAAATGACTTAAAGTTCCTCCTGAGATGTGTGCGAACCTGGTGACCAACTACAGCAAAGGTCTCACCAAGGGTTTCTCCACCGCGCACTAAATGATGACTTCCTTGAGGATCAAATATTTATTTCACTTGGTGTAATGTGTTAAACCGAATTTAATTTAATGTGTTTTTTTCCGGACTTTTGGTTGATATTCTGTCTCCTTCCAAAAAGTGAAACTACCAGACAAAATGAGAAGCTGTAAAAAATGAACGACTGAGTGAACTGGGATCTACGTGCAGAGAAGCCAAAGAAAAAGCAAGATTAAGACCTAAAAAGAAGAAACCAATATATAGCGGGCCAAGGAGCAGCATGGATGAAAGTGATGTTCAGTGCCGAATGACAAATCTGCAGTGTGAAACATTTAAAGACGACTACCTGAACAAATTTTCTGGCTAATGGGGTTGCATATCAGGTAAAGTACCGGGCGGCATGACCATCATTAACTCAGCACTATTCACACAGGATCACACTTGCATGTTGGGCATTTTTCTCATCTGACAGAAAGTAGGTTTGGTGATAATGAAGCCATTTTTCAGGATCATAATGCATCTTGCTGCAGAGCAAAGAGTGCTCAAAAAGGCAGCTAATATCAACTTCGTGCCATGGGCAGCAAACAGTCTGGATCCAAGTCTGATTGAAAATTTATGGTGGAAATTGAAAAAGTAAATTTCCATAGTGAGCATCCATGCTGGAAAGCTGATCTGCCAGCCGCTATTTGGGAAGGCTGGTTGAGAGAGCAGGTTGATACAGAATATTGCTTTTCATTAGTGAAATCCATCCATGCCTCAGAAAAATCAGGTCGTTATGAAAGCCACAGGAGATGCAATAAATTATTAATTTTGGTGTTTTTGTAGATTACGCCATCATTTTCCCCTCAACATCGAGTGTTTCCATTTCTACTTTATCTGGAAAAAATATAGCGTTAATTAAAATAATTCCATTTAATTTATTTGAGGCATGTTTGGCTGTTAGACAAAGAAGAAAAGCAATAAGAGTGAAGGTTGAAATGATGCTACTGAGACCTGCTAAGATGTTTGATTTGAAGATGGTGGAGCTGACAAAAAGACGAGTGTTAAGGTTTTTATTGAGTGTGACCAGGATGGAGAAGATTAGAAATGGCTACGTCAGAGGAGTGGTTCAGGTTGAGCACTTTGGGAACAAAGTTGGAGAGGCGAGGTGAGATGATTAGGACATGTGCAGAGGTGGGATAGAGCATATACTGGACACAGTGGACAAAGGATGCTGAAGATGGAGCTGGTCGGCGGGAGGAAAAGAGGAAGACCTCAGAGAAGATTTATGGACGTAGTGAAGGAGGACATGCAGAGGGCTGGTGTGACAGAGAAGGATGGAGCCAGGTGATTCCCTGTGATGATCCCTAAAGGGAGCAGTTGTGTCATAATTGTGATTTGTTTATGTCCTTCAAAAAGTGGTGATTTCATTTGTCAGTTACCCTTAGTTTTGATATTACTTTCATTTATTTTATTAATATGTGTGAACATACGCACCGTGTCCCTCTCTAGCTTTAGTGTTAGAGACTAAAAGGGAAAGCATTCTGTACATTCTTTCAAATCTTATTTTAGTTAGTGTTTCAAGAGCATATTATTTTAGTTAGTTTTTGTTTGTTTGGGTTTGTTTTTCAACCCAATTATACTTTTATACTTCAATTCACTAATTATACTTCACTCACCTGATGACCTTGTGTTGGACAAAATGGGCAATCACTACTTTATCTTTAATTTTCATGAAACAAATTCTAATTTGCAAGCACATTTCTGTTTGTTGTTGTTGTTGTTGTTGTTATGCCAAAAGGTGATTTATGAAACAGGATTTATGACTGGGGTCATATATAAAAAATAAAGAAATTACCTCTTTTACAAGTATCTTTATGAGTCTGAGTTATTGTACCTACAAAAAAAAATCAGAACTGTGATATTATCCTTGTTACAATTTCCTCTTGGTTCGATCTCTTGTAAAACACATTTTTAATTTGAATGACATTAAAATAAAGAATAAACTTTCTTTCTGTTCGTTCTGTTTAAAAATGTCTTAATATCATTCATTTTTTTTTTTTTTTTTTTTTTTTCCCTAAATGACATCAGAAACAGCAGTATGCGACATTACGTGATGGCAGAGCTTCAGTTCATCCTTTGTCATTTTTTTTTCTTTAATAAATAGGACAGGGGGAATGAATGAGAGAAAGAGGGGGAGAGAAAGAAAGAAAACCAAAGGGGAGAAGAGACGGTGAGAAGGGGGGGGAAGAGAGAGAAAGAAAAAAAAAAAAAGAACTCCTGGGTCACCTGTATGGAGAAAAAACAAACAAACAAACAAAACAAACAAAAAAAACAAACAGAGGAGACAGCAAACAACAAAGAGCAACATAATAATAGAGAAAACAAAGCACCATCACAATAAACTAGCTAGTCATAGATATCAATATTTACTAAATAATAAACGATATTGTGCAGCACGCAAGATAGACAGCGCACAGTGTGCTTTGAGGTAGCAGCCAAGAAAGCTTTAGTCCGCGTCTGTGAACACCCGTGTGCATACCTGTGTGGATCAGCATGCTTGCATTCCAAAGGTTTCTCCATGTAATGATCTGCTAGGGAGTGTGGGGGGGCCACAGCCCCGTCCTCCAGGGTGTGAAGCGGGTATGGAGGAGATCAAAACTCCAGACATCCAGAGGCCCCCAGAACACAAGAGACCATGGAAGACCAACAGAGGGGCAGCCGCGCCACTGTTCCAGTAAGAGCTGAGGAGAGTCCCAGATGAGGGCTCGCCCAGCAGCCGCGGAGCAGAAGTCAGGGGGAGTTGCAGTGACGCGCCCGTGAGCTCCGCCGGCCCCCAGCTGTGCCTGAGTGACCGAGCCCCAGGCCGAGAGGCCGGGGGCACCCCACCTCCAAAGGGGCCCGAGCGAGCCCCAGGCCCCAGGCCCCGACAAGCGGCCGCCAAGGAGTGAGCCGGTGTGTACCCGGACGCCCACCCCCAGACACAAAGAACCACCAACACACCGACACCTGAGGGAGTCCGCCACCGGCAGGGGAAGTGGTGGTGGGTGGAGATAGGCCTCCAAACCTTGGAGGGCCTGAGGTGTCCCCAGAGAGGTGGCGTCTGATACCCAACCTGACATATAGACACAGACATACAGGCACACACAGACACAAACATCCATTCCCACCCTCATGCTCTCATATGCACTCACTCCACACTCAACCAACGTGGAGACAGACATAAAGAGACGCTGTACACACAATCACACTCCCCAAGCGTACTCTACAAACCGGGTCTAGGTACCCTTGCCCCTGGAGGGGGGAATTGCACCCAGACCCAGGTGGTGTTACCCTTTTCCCTGCGGTGGGGAGAGGCAGACCACCCCGACTCCGCAGCAGCAGGGAGGCCCCACACCCCAGACCGCAGTCGGACGGCCAACTCCTCCTACTAGCCCTCCCGCTCCAGCAGGCCGCAGAGAATGGGGGTGGGAGAAGACTCCAAACCTCCCTCCACCCGCTCATTGTAGTGTTGATGCATATGTGTTCTAAGGTGCAATTAAAACCCAGGAGGGCATGGAGCTACCTGCCAAGGAGCAGCAGGTAAGCGCATAGTCCCTCCTGCTAGCCCTCAATGACTAAGTGTATTTAAAATTGAGAGGTGGGCAACGACGTCAGGGGTGAGGTATACACCCTGATGGTAATTTGGACTCCGTGATTGTGCCCACCCCCAAGATCCTATATGTATGTGTAATGAGAGTGTGAATAATGTGAATGTTTAAGGTGTGGGATAAAATTGAGGCAGAGGCAGCCAGAAGGGGACGGGGGGGGGGGGGGGGGGGGGGGGGGGTAGCCTCCTCTGCACCCTGGTGACATACCCCCACTCCAAGGCCCTGCATAATCATTCATGAAAGACACGTTGAACATAGGCCAACAAGTCATTTACAACAGTTTAAATACAGACAATCATTTTGGGGAAAATATGGAAATCACTTTTTCTTATCAGTGTATATAGTATCATGAATATCCATCCACTGCTCCTCTACTGTAGTGTTTTACCTTAGACACCAGAGGGCGCTTGGGAGCTATATCAACCCCCTTTTATCAAAATAAAGAGGTATACAGTCTCACAGTCCCATTTTTAAACTAAAGCTTGCTGCCAATACTCAAACTTTTAGACAGGACAGTGCACTCAAGCCCACTACTATCAGTTTCTGAAATTAAAGTAGACAAACTCCTCCGTGGTGCTTTGAAAAGTCTGTTCTTAACCTAGAAAACTGAAATGAGTAACCTTACTTCTAGCAGGGACGGAGAGTAAAGCTGAAGGTGCAAGGTGTAAAAGACATAAACACGGAGGCGTATTCATGAGGTCTAACCACGCCTCCGTTAGACTGCGCTTCCGTGTTTACACACCCACAAAAATAGGAGACTCCAGCGGCCGTCGGGCGGCTGTTTACCGAGCAAGCAGAGTAGCAGTGAGGAAAGTGACAGCCACACGGGAGGCTCGGTGTATGGTGAAAGACAGGTGATTTCAGCTTCCACGGTCGCATTTTAAAGCGTAATGTTCACTCGAAGGGGGCATGGAGACGTCAAGAAATCTACACAGAAAGTTCTGGACCCAAAGAAGGATGTGTTTACCCGGTTCAAACACCTCCGGACTCTGTTAGGTGAGTGAAATGTCACCGGGGAGCTGGATGCTGCATCGTCGAGGCTTAGCTAAGTGGAGCTAGCTAGCTGGCACCAGCCGACTGCTAACGTCAAACAAGGCGTCAGGTCAGCTGGCTGCTTAGTGCGAGTCCAGCCTGCTGACCTGTAACATGCATCTGCATTATGCCGGTACCCTCTGCTGTTTGAAGTCTTTGTTCATTTAAAATATGAGACAAATCGCACTGTGATGAGGCATGGATGCTAGCTAATACAAGCTAGCTCCCCTGCGGCTACCTAGCCAGCCAATAATGCTAACTGATGCAGGGAAACAGATGCCGAGAACAGGCTTTGCTGCTCTTCGGTCCTGTGCCATCATTATAGTGTTAAACACGTAACTGAAGCTTCGTCATTCAGCATCGATTCGCACAGGTTGAAGTCTCTGTTTGGACTTTTGGAGAGAAGACAGGGCTTTCTTACTGCAGGTTACCTTCCCGAGTTTCAGTCAACTTGCCTCTACCTTTTTTTGAGAAATTTGACATGATATTGACATAAACGTGTTACACAAGAGCAGTCATTTATTTTAATCCACTGGACAAGGAAGTGCAGAATTTATGAGGCTCATAAAACTGTTGTCTTCTTGCGCTGCGTTAATAAAAAAGAGACACGACTATGTTCTGCAGTCACCTGACTTGTGTTGTCCATACGAGCTGTTAAACGGTCTGAGTTTGCACGGCTTATTCCATTGATAAACTGTAATAATGACAAGTGAATGCTGAATCTACACTGATTTAAGCAGAACCGATGACGTGCAAGTTGTACATTTTATCATGCCGAATCATATCAAAGACAAAATAAATGCAGTGCTGGAATTTGAAGGCACCATCATCCTTTTTATAAATGAAGAGCGCATCCATTGGCTGAAAAATATATGTGATAGGCTAATATCTGGTGATATGTCACTGGTGTATTATTGGTTTCTCGTATTTGGAACTCAAACGTTGTATTAGAGGCCAGGAGGTCAAATGTTACAGTCGCCTCCCATCAGAACTCTGTTGACAACATCATGAATGCTGTACTATATCTTGTGCTCTTCTGTTATTCTCCGTGCTTTGTCAGTAATCGAGGTCAGTGTGGAGAGGAACAAAGAGATCTGGAGAAAAACTGCAATCTGCTCACTCTGAGTGCAATAAATCATGTCTTTCAGAAATATCATTCAAAGTAGGTCATGTATGTGTATTTCTTGACGTGGACCACACAGAGGTGAACATCTAGGCAGTTAATTTTCTCTTGTTTTTATTTGATGATTAATGGTTATATCCCCAGAGTAGCTGGAAAACAGATGCAGTAAACACAGTTTCTTCTCTTGTTTTCATTTAGATTTTATTTTATTTATTTTTTTACATAAAGCTTTGAAAAATATTGGAAACCTTTTTACATATTGTCCCAAAATACACACGATGACTGATTTGGGTAAGTTTTAGTTACAGTAAACACTAATTGCTTTTAGTTAGAGCACTTTTAGAGCTTCTAAAGTTTGGTATGTCTGTGGTGGCAGTGAAATTCAGAGGAAAGTCCGAGCACGTTTGCCATGTTTAGAGTTTAAACCATCGGTTCATTGACACGTGCCTGCTTGTAACCTTTTCATATAGTGACTTGTTATCCAATTTATTGATCCTCAGTACTGCAGCAGGATTGTAATAGCCACTGTCAGCCTAACAGTTGTAGCTTGAGCAAAGCTGTGGGAAGTTGATATGGTTGAAGTTTTTTTGCTATCATAGCAAACTTTCAATGTCAAGACTAGTACAGCCAAGGTGGAGGTCAGCACAGTGCTCTGCCTGCCATCTGTGTTTTTCTTTCCCTCATGTGCAGCTAAAGATAAGGCTGGTCTGTTTGTCCAGCAGCTGATAGTTGGGCCGACGTTGCAATCTCCCCCAAATTCCCAGATTACACCGAGCTTGCAGTTCAGGAAGGATTTCCTCCTGGTTCTGCTGGTTCCTGTGTGGCAGGAAGCTTGATGAGAGATGGGGGTGAGCTGGAGGACAGGGCAGGACAGGGACTTGGATAGAGCTGACCTTCTTTCACCAATCACGCTGTTTTATCTTTTTGAAATATTTAAATGTTATTATTCATAACACTAGCAAGAGAAGACATTTCCAGAGGTGGCAGGCTGGAACAGCTTCTGGTGGGAGGAAATTTAATATGTAGCTTCTTGTTAAACTTTACAACCTGTATGTCAAGCATCCACAGCTGGGGTTTACCACACTTATTTACTATGTTCCAAGGAGAAGATACCATTAAGGCACAGTTTGTTTTTTAATGACTCTTATGTTTTCAGTAATCCTTTAATTTCTGCACAGAAGTTTTCAACCTGCTCGTCTTCTCTCAAGGTCATTGTCTATTAAGTTATCCAAAATTTGACCTCTTTATGTCATTGCCACACCAACACCAGAAATTTGGTAAACAGGCTTGTTAAATCAGTGGTACTATCAGCAGTATTGTACTTGAAAGGACAATCTGTGGTCTGGGCTATTTTCAGAGTGGCCCTCTATTGGTTTTCTGCTCACTGAGCCGATCTGTGGGATAGAGTGTGAAAGCTGCTGCATGTTAATTTGCTGGTCATGCCTGGCTGCATTTGGCTGAGGTTGTTAATTACAGGAGCCCAGCAAAACCACCTGATCACTCACTGCTTCACACACTTGTGGCACCAACCGCTTTTCCTTTGACTTCTCTCTGTGCGAAGTCTTTCTCATCCTCGGCCCCCACCTGCTGAGCTCGCTGTGCATCCCAGTGCTCCAGGTTGTTCATAGTGACCTGGAGTATGATGATGAAAGTGTAGGAAATCCTTCATTGACATGAATGTAAACAACAGTGTTTGTCTGGAGGAATACCCATTGTATCCCCGGGGCAGTATTTCTTTTTTAGTGCCAAGTCAGCTATAAACGAGTCACGCTGCTGCATTTGAAGCTCGTAAATGTTTAACTCAAAGCTTTTCGTTTGTGAGGACTTGAGACCGGGTGCCTTGGTTGAAGGAGTAAATTAGCTGTTGTTTCTTTACTTTTCAGCTGGTGTAAACAGGCTCAGCTGGAATCTGCTTGTGAACTGCACTGGAACAAGTGTTGCCAGTGATAACACTCAGGTGTGTTTGTTGTAGGTCTTGGTATTTTTAAGTTTGCAACCAAAGGTAAACCTGGGGAAAAAATGAAGCTCTGTACTCATCGTTCACAAAAAATGAAAATGGTGTCATTACACTCTGCCTTTCTTCGTGTGCTGTTGTGTGGGTCGGGGTCAACTGAAAGTGCTGCTGTTAGAGGAGGAAATCACAAGTTGAAGCACCAGGGGGGAACAATGAGCACAACACTGGAAGTGCTCTCAAGAAGGTCCTCTGTGTGGCTGAAGTAAAGGCTGAGATCACTTGACTTCTGATTCTGCCCCATTTGTACAACACTCAGGTTAGACTTGTGAACAAGTCCAGCCTCTTACCATCTTTTATCCCACACTGCGTAGGCAGGATATCAACACTTAAAAAGTGTAGTGCAGTTCAATGCAAGTGTCATATTAAACTGTCCTTTCAGGATTTTATTAACCTTTCACAGTCTTGAGTTTTGTTTCTTATTTTCATGCTATCACCAACTAAACTTGTATCCGAGTCATCATGGATGATTAAAGCTTTTTGACACTAATTGGCATAAGTGGACTCTTTAATGTTACAAGTAAAATAAATCTGACCACTTTTAAACCAAAAACTTTTACCTGGTTTCCAGATAAATGAAGAAGTATGCAGAAAGAAATCATTGTTAGTTCCCTGTCAGATAAACTGTTAATATAATGATGTTAGAAGCATTGTGTGCTGCTTAGATTAGATGGCAGCTTTAACAGCTCTGTAGTGTTGCCTATTACAGCAGCACCTCCTCTCATAATGGTCTAGGCATTTAGCATCTTAGCACGTACTTAACACGTGCTAAATGCCTTATTAAGAGAAGCACAGAGATGCTTCAGAATAGAAATGAGGAATATCTAACACTGTATAATCATGGAATAGTGTAAAGCTGCCTGATTTGACTGTACATTATAAATTGTTGTAGACTTTATCAGTTAAATTTATATTTAATATATATTTGCTCATAAAGGTGAATGTTTTTAACTGCTTTATATTAGTTGATAGGGTCGGCAGGACTATGACTCTGTCATGGATATCAATTATTTATTGTGTTGCAGTGATATCTAACAAGGTGGTCATGTTAACCACATGGTTTATTTAGGCTGGAGGGGAAGATCTATTTCCTTTCATAAAGTCTATAATTTTTACTGTCTTGTCAATCAAGAATGGGAGCAGCTACTGGCATCAACAGGTAGACGACGCTTCTGCAGCAAAACAGAACTTAGCCATGCAGGTTATCAAATAGTCACTTCTAGATGTTATTGTTACTTACTGTGCTGCTTCACTGATTTAAGTACCCTTTGAGTCAGTAATAAAACCCAAATATGTGTATATCATGGTGCAGTTGATCGTAATGAAAGTGTCAGCTTCAGTCTCTCGGGGCTATTTATCAGAAGCAGCATCGCCCCCCTCCCTAGAGACAACTAGACTTCTTAAAAATCGATCCTTAAAAGAAGAGACTGGATTATAACTGTCATGATCTCAAAAATGTAAAAGCAGCAAAACAGGTTTGTTTTTGTCCACATCTGCAAAAAGGCTCATGTGAGCCTATTACAGTGTGAAAAATGGCTGATGATCTAACAGATAGCTGCTGGGCAGACGAATGTAAAACCTCATCCACGTATTTGTTTTAGATAAATCAGTGGAAGAGCTTTTTTAAAAGAAGTTATAGAGGAATTAAGGTAAGCTGGGGAAAAAGCTTCAGTTCTACATAAAGACTGAGTTATCTGGCCACACACAGGAAGCAGGTGGAAGGTGAAAAACGAGTGTTTTGACCAGTAGTTGTCAGAGTCACTCTGGTAAATGAATGATGATTTATTTATTCATTAGCTACATTGGAACAGATCAGAGATTAATAACTCT